ACAATTTTTTTTTTTTTTAGTTTTATATATGAGCCGAACACAAACAAACAATTAATCATTGGTGTTTAGCTCATTTTTTTTGCTCAAATTACTTATAGAATTAATAATGTAAATTTGTGATAATATTTTTATGCTTAATTTTTATGTTGTATTAAAAAAATGTTAAATTTAATTATTTTTTCAAACGTCTCTGAACTTAATTCAATCTGAACAAGAGCTAAAACAAACAGAGGCGAACCAAGAAAGAGTTCTGGGGAGGCAATAACAATATAACTCTACAAAACCATCTGCCTTACTCTCTCCTGTTGGTCTAAGGAAGTTTCGCTAAAAAAACTTAGTTTAGTTCCCTAAATCCAGTATCTAGCCCTAAGAACTAAGTTCTCCCAAAAAATTTGCACTAACCTAGAGGTAATATTCATATTCTTCTGAGTTAATGTGATTAACCTCATCGTTCCATTATGATCTCTTTCGAATCTCATAATTTATGGTAAGTATTAACAATTCACTTGGCCACAATCAAAGTAAAAGAGATTCTAAAGGTTAAACATCACCATTTAAGATTAAGCACATAAATCACATAAGAAATCACACTCATAAATCCTACATCCCCATTTCAAGAGAGAATGAGAGAATTACTCACTACTCATGCTTACACATATTTACATAAACAATTTATTTGGAAGAAGAAATCAATTACATAAGACTTTAAAAGTTGAAATGAAATCAAACTACACAAAGAACTCTAAAGCAATTATCTCTCTTCTTTCTCATTTAGAATGACTTTGATATAACTACAGAGTCTCACAAACACCATAAAACTAGCTTCTCTACATTTAATTACAAGTTGAAGATCTTGTTTGGTCTTTTCCTAAGAGGCTTCATGCTTCAAAATGGCAGAAAATGACCCCTCCTTAGTCAAATTCATGGCTTTTATATCTCTCCCAACAAAAAGATGCATCCGAACTGCACAAAAACGGCCTACACGGTTCAACCTAGGTGTTGGGCACCAAAAACTTTTACAGACTCCTATCCTCCTCCTTTCCTTAATTTTGCATCGTAACACCAAAAACTTTCACAAAGCATAATATAAACATAAAATCAAGTGAAAATAATGTGACAAATAAATACATTTTATATGCATGTCAATAACAGAGAATCACATTCTATAATGAAGAAAATTTTTATTCATATTATCAAAAGTCATCATCAAATCAATTTTAGAGTAAATTTTCTTCAAAAAATTACTAGAATTGAAACTATATAAAGCTAGATAGCTATAATAATATTTTTAATGATATTCCAACCCTTAATGAATGTAGCATGTGCAATGGGTATAAAATTACAAAAAAAAAATTGTATATCTTCTAGAAGTTTAGAAATAACTTTATACATGATATTACGAAAAAAAGTCTGTATTCATTAAGAGTTTGGGCCAAATAATTCTTATAAATTAAATTGATAACATAATGTTTAATGCTATGAGGAAACTTGATGATAATAAAAAATACTTGATAGTATTGATACTATCAAACTCAATAATATGCCAAGAATCCTTGAAGAATTTACAAGAAAAATCATTAGGACTCAAGGCTTTACCACTCCGAACCGGATGAAAAAAAAATTAAAATGATCTAGTAAGAATATGTCAGAAATATAAAAGAGATAAAACTCAATTACTAAAACAAAAATAAGATGATATTTTTTTTTCATAAATAACTTTCTTACAATCATCAATAAGAGCCTTATTATTAAACCTGCTAACATTCCGAGCAAGAATGTTAAGATATAACATAACAATAAAATATAAATTAGTGTGGCGTAATTTCTCCTTTCAGTAGTTATTCTTTGCCTTATAAGTAAGTGGAAGAGAAGCATAGGAAGGACAAAGATCAACAATAATGACATCAAAAATCACACGAGTAGCCAAAAGATTACAAGCATTATCATAACCTGTTTGGTTAACATTAACTCCAACATCTTTCTGAAATGAAGGAATAAATTCTTCTAGAAATATTGGCATAAGTAAAATGAACATCATACAATATCAATCAAATTTCAATATAAGGTCTATTAGCCCAACCAGAAGAATTAAAACTATAAAAAGATGTTTCGGCAAGAACATTAAGATGAGGGTCATATAAGATTAAGATGAGTAGAAAATATGTATTTCTTTGAGGTATTTGAACAAAACAAATTCTATTTCTGTTTCTAGTACTACCATGAAAAACATGAATGATAATAACATGATGGCAGTAAGGAGACTTCAAATAAAAAGAAAGATCATGAGAAAATGCTTAACAAGTCTTACAACTGCAAATTTTCATTTATAAATAAATAGTTTTTACAATAATTTGATCTTTCATAACCAAAGTAATAAGCTCAAGAAAAGAATAACATCTATACAAATTTAAGGCAAACACTAACAAAAGTATGATGTGAGCCATTATGTAAGTTGATCAAGAGCCAATAGGATATTTATTTTATTAGTGATTTTGGAAAAACCATTCTTCAAGCATCAACATAGGAGAAAATTAAGAAATTCAATCCAAATATGGACAACTTTGAAATCCTCCTTAATTGATTTAAAAGCATGTGATAATCTTTTAAGTATGAACGTCCTTTCATTAATAAATTTTCTCCCCTCAAAATTATTTGAAGATCTTCAACACAATAAAATATAAATAGAAAAAACCCTTCTGCAAGTAATAAAGATTTAGCAATATCTTTGAGCCTATCAATGACTTGCAAAAGATTATCATAGCAAGAACACTTCCTCAATGCATAGCTAACCAAAGCAAGACTCCACGGTTTAAAGCCATTTTCAACATCTTAATCTGAAAAGATAATTGCTCATTCACAAAAGAAAATAAGAAAGCAAAAAATTAGAAGGATTAGGGATTTGGGATGATAAAAGCCTTTTATAACATATTGCTGGCTCAATGCCAAGAAGGGAACAGGAAGAGAAGATGAAATAGGGAGAAAAAAGTGGATGCATGAAAAGCTAAAAGGCAAAGCCTAAAGCCAGGACATGACACTCAATGCATATGAATGAAGAAAACACTCAAAGGTATGAAGAAAGTAGGAAGAAGTTATGTGATCCTAAAAATGCTAGCAGAGTTCCCATTTCGAGAGGAAAGCGAGGCGAGCCTTCTCGGTGTTTGTGTCTAGCAATTTGTTGTTAACTATCATTTTTTTTTTAATAATGAGATTTGTACCCAAATGATCAGAGATGTTCATCACATTGTAATACGGTAAGTTGTACATGAAAAATATGCAAAAAAAAAAAAAAAACATAAATATTGAGCGAGACAGATTTCTTGACTTAAAGAAGAAAAAAGAATAGAACGTTAACTTTTCAAATGGGTCACGTAGAAAGGAAAGACTAGCAATATAGAAAGGGCTATTTGATATCTTTGTTTCTAATTTTATTTTATATATATTTTGATATGAAAAAACTGACATGTGATGATAGTGGCTATCTCGAGTAACACTTATAGCAGTGGTCGGCAACTACTAGTATAACGATAGAGGTTTTTAAAAATATTAAAAATACTTAAATATCATTTTAAGTCCTTCAAAAAATAAACTATTTTATATTTAGAAAAAAAAAAGTGCAAAATACAGCAACTGTTAACACTAGTTATTAGAGCTTTGATTTCTTATATAGGTTTTTGAGTGGTAGGGTAGCATCAAGTCTCATTCTAGCATGACAAAAAATAATAAATTAATTAATTTACACCATAGTATAATTGGCTAAAATAAAATTGACATGCATTTTGTTAATGATTGCTTATTTCTTTTAATAATAATTTTGCATTCAAATCTTATAGAATATAAATATTTTAAATAAATTTAAATAATATCCGAAACTAGAGGTGTAAACGAGCCGAACACGAGCGAGCTCAGCTAGTGTTCGGCTCGTTTATATTTCAAGCTCAAAAAATGTGTTCGTGTTCGACTCATTTGCTTACCGAGCCGAACAAGAGCCATTCACGGACAAAGAATCGTTTTGATAGCCCCAATGACGTAGCCATAAGATGTTAAGGATTGGGGTGAGATTTAAAACATCATATGAATCTAATTTAAAATTTCTTATTATATTTTTTTAATTAATACTTTTAATTAATTATAAATCTTTGTAGCTTTGTAGTTAATTAAAATTTTTTTTTAAAATATTCATCATTTTTAAAAATATATATGATTAGTAGTATTTCGAGCCAAAATGAACCGAACACGATCAAACAAATATTTATTCGGGTTGTTTATACTCTGCTCATTAACTTAAAGAATGGGCCGAACAGACACTTTTTAACGAGCCATTTGTCAGCAACGACCCGTTTTGACAGCTCTATGTGAAACAAGCTCTGCCCCAGCCAAGGTCGAACCCCTAATAATATGTAAATTACTCTAAACTTCATAAAATTAATTTTAATTTAACATTATTTAAGTAAATTTCGAGCTCAGAGCTAAATCGCAACTCGTGAGCAAAAATCACACGCCACTTATCCGATCCACACCTGTCATTTGCCAATTTAAATGTACGTACGGAGGACACAAATCAAATTCACGGGCGCGCTTATCATATTCGTATTAAGAAAATTAAGATATTTATGTATAATCTAATATTAAAATTTTATATTTATAATATTTAATATCATAATTTTATATATTAAAAATATAATTTACATGCATAGCACTCAATTCCTATGCGTTTACATATCTCACACGTAATATTATATATGTAAAATTTGGTTATTTTTAATAAATAAATAAATAACTGTATTTTTAATATGAAATTAAAATTTTGCCGTCGCCCGCAAGCGCCGTTACCGTATGTGGTCAAAAGTCAAACTTCGTCGATCTCCTTTCCTCTGCAAAGGGATATCAATAAAAAAAAAAGGAACGCTCCCTCGATTGCAGTACACACTTCTCTTCAACCTCTGCTTCTCTGCAATGGATGGCTCTGATGGAAGCGCCGCCCCTCCCCCCCCCCCCCCCCCCAGCCGCCGCCGGCAGCGGCGGCAGATCTTAAGGCCGCTGAACAGCTCATTCTTCAGTGGGATCCGACAGCTTCGCCGTGTAGTGACCGCATGGTGTTTGATGGCGAAGATCGCGCTGAGGCGGAGCGATACCTCCAGGCAGTGGATGTGATCCGCCGCGCCTTAAAGAACTCTCCGGCCGGAGCTAGCGGTAGCCCTAGGAAGTCCGGGACAGCCGCCAGTACTATCCAGATCGCCATGGTACGGCTCGAGGACGAGTTCCGCCACATACTTGTCTCCCGTGCAAACGCTTATGAGATCGATTCGATCATCGATCTGAACTCCCTCTCCCTCCCACGATCCAGTTCAGGTGACCTGATGCCAGATCTACCGGAGCCTGAACCCGAGGATGAGGGATTGAATCTCCGGCGGAGTGTGGGGAGCAGCAACAATCTCGAGGGGAGCAACACACCGAGCTACCGTTCCACCAGCAGCATCCGTGAGATCGATCTCCTACCTGATGATGCCGCTCAGGACCTCCGCAGCATCGCCGATCGGATGATTGCAGCTGGATACGGCCGTGAGTGTTTTCAGGTTTACGGAAGCGTCCGCAAGTCCGCGTTGGAGCTCTGTTTCCGCCATCTGGGGATTGAGAGGCTCAGCATCGGGGACGTTCAGCGGCTGGACTGGGTCGCTCTGGAATCTAAGATCCGTCGGTGGATTCGCGCTGCTAGGGTTTGTATTCGTATTATTTTCGCCAGTGAACAACGCCTCTGCGACCTCATCTTCGCCGGCTCTACGGGTGACGAGGCCCCCTTTGTTGAAACGGTGAAGGGAGCGGCGGTACAACTGCTGAGCTTCGCAGAGGCAATCAGCATCGGCCGTCGTTCTCCTGAAAAGCTCTTCAAAATCCTCGACCTTCATGATGCCCTCTCGGATTTACTTCCCGACGTTGCCGTCGTTTTCCATTCCAGGGCCTTGGAATCACTCAACACCCAGGTATCTGATATCATCACCAGGCTTGCTGATGCCGTTCGAGGAATCTTATCCGAATTTGAGAGTGCCGTTCTTAGAGAGCCCTCAAAAATTCCTGTTCCTGGAGGTACTATTCACCCGCTTACGAGGTATGTGATGAATTACATCAGTCTCATTTCGGATTACAAGCAGACACTGCTTCAGCTGATCGTATCAAAGCCTCCGGCAGTCCAACGGTTGCCTGGCGATGAAGCCGGCGAAGCTTTACCAGAAGTTGACCTGCCGGAGCCGGCAAAACTCTCCCCGCTTGCATCCCATTTAATCTGGATAATCGTCATCCTCCAATTCAATATGGAGAGTAAGGCACAGCTCTACAAGGACGCTGCCCTCTCCCACCTTTTCTTAATGAATAATTTTCACTACATTGTCCAGAAAGTGAAGGGCTCCCCTGAGTTGCACGAAATGATTGGGGATGATTTCCTAAAGAAACTCACAGCTAAGTTCCGGCAACTGGCCACTAGCTATGTAAGAGCAACTTGGGTAAAGATCCTCTATTTCTTGAGAGATGAGGGGTTACATGTTGGTGGAAGCTTCTCATCTTCTGTGTCAAAATCAACGCTGAGAGAGAGATTCAAAGGATTCAATGCTGCTTTTGACGAAGTTCACCGAACACAGTCCGCATGGTTCGTTCCTGAGTCCCAACTGAGGGAGGAGCTAAGGATTTCAATATCTGAGAAATTGCTTCCAGCTTACAGATTCTTTTTGGGCCGGTTCAGGCAACATATAGAGAGTGGGAGACACCCTGAGATGTATATAAAGTACTCAGCCGAGGATCTCGAGTTGGCCTTATCTGATTTTTTCGAGGGTTGCCCTCCACCTCTGCAAGGCAGGAGAAAGTCCCATTGAAGCTGATCTCAGAAGGGGTTAAAGTGCAGTGAGTTCTGTAGAAATTATTCTTTAATCTTTATGGAAGTCTTCAGACACTTGGGGTCTAAGGATTAGAGGACAGCGGAACTTCTTGGAATTGATTGAAGGCTTGGTCAAGAATATTCTTTTGCGAGAATGTGAGATGACTGGAACTTTTTTAAAGTTGCTAAATCACATTTGCCCCTGTAAAATTTCAACTGTAAGTTTGTTTGTTACATGCTATATTATTTAAGCAAGTTCTTCTAAGCAATTGTTTTATTTTAGCATTTTCTGCATACAAGTGGGAGCTTTTCTTCTATAGAATGTTAAATTTTGACGATGAGTGTAATTATTTTTTATATTCTTTTTTTCATGTGAATTGCCCTGTTTTAAGTTTTCTTTCTTCTTCACTGTTGATGATGAGGGCCCATTGTTGTAGATGGACACAACCCTAAACCCTAAACATGTAATTGAACTATGTTTGGTTAACATATTCTGCATCCTGAGAAAAACCTGCCAAAACTTGCCCTAGAAAGTGAAATGACTTGTTCTTTTGTATCGCCATGATTTGATACAATTGTTATAAAAGTTTAAATAATATTTATCAATGTTAAAGTTGCTCGATTGGGTATTGAGATGTTTTTCGTTCGGGAGGTAAGGCGTAAGCTTCACAATTTAAAAATTGTATTATGTTTTGCTAAATATGTAACACATTAAACCATTTGATCTTCCCTAATAATGGATAAAACTTGATTCTAATAACTTGTGTTAGGAAAGCATATGCAGCTCTTTCACATTATAAAATATGGTATTATAGACATAAATCATGTTAATTGACATCCAAACCTAAATATGTTCTAAGTCACCATAAAATCACCTTTGATAATATGCACCAACAAAGAATCTAAGTTAACGATCACAATAAAAGTAAATAATTTTGTTTGAACTAAAACTAGAGCACTCTAACTCAACTATCCAGCTTATAAAAGAGAGCAGAGAAGAGAATTGCATTTCTTTTATGTCAAACAAAGCTACAAACCTATTGTAAAATCTGACGGCAGGGCCGCTGCATTAGGTGACTGTGTTGAGAGCAACAAGAAGAGGCAGGTTGGGCGGTGGTGTGGCAGCAGTAGGTGCAACAAGCTGTAGCCGAAGCAGTAAGTGGCTGCGGTGGCACCGACGATATAAGATCGGGCAGCATCGGCGTCGGCTTCAATGGCATTGGCTGATGCAGCAGGTGGTGATCCAAGCGTCAGTGTGAGAGGGAGACGGGGGGACGGAGATCGGAGGCTTGTGTTCGAAGGAAACAGACATTCTGCAGAATACCTAGTATAAAATAAGAGGTGGACACCTCAGCTTGGGCAAGGCGAAGCCCGCCTTATTGCATGCCTCATCAATACTAAGGCATATACAACGCGAAAATCATGTGAGGCGTATACCTCGGCATGATTCTGCAGAGAAGAACGCCTCCAATTATGCAATTTTTAACATTGTTATTTATAGACACTATTTTTATGCATTTTATAAGTTAAAAAGTTTTTTCAGCTATGGGGCTTATTCTGTAGGGTCCTCTAACTAACTATGAAGGCCCTTCACTATCTATAGCAGGGGATTACTTATATTTATGAATGACAAATTATGCTTAAAGCTCGCAAAAATAGACATGTCATCTCGTTTGGCAGCTGATGGCCATAATTTAAGAATGAAAATTCATAAAATTCTCTCCAAACATTTAATATAAAGATGATGAAAATAAAGGTTCCAGAAGTTCTTTCTAGCAACGGTTGAAAAATATTAAAATGGATTATATGAAAGGGACATATATACATACATACCATCCAATTCCCATGTATTTACATATCTAACTCCTAAACTTTACTTTTTTACATTTCTACCACCCAAATTTTTTATATCACATGAAAAATTCCATTATTATATCTTTCAAAAAGTGAAATACAATATATATATATATATAAATTGAAAATTAGGCGGCTGATATGTAAGCACATAGGAATTGGATGGTATGTACGTAAATCTTTCTATATGAAAATTTAAGTGACATGTTAAAATCTGTTAGGCTTCAGTAGTATAAAATCCTCCATATTGACGCGAATTCACTAGCATTTGAATAATTTCACATAGACTGATATGACCTCATTTTAATTAATCAAAGTCATTAAACCCGAGATTGGACCGATTACATCAAATATTTGTGTAGGGGGCCACCATCCGCAATAAAATTACACACAGAACGGGCTAGCCAAGTCAATGAATTGGTATTTTAAATCACTTGGCAAGATATTGCTCCAGGTTATCAAATTCTAGTCTCTACTTTGATTCCTTTAATGGAAGCCAGGCATTAGCCACCTTGAAAAAACCTAAATATTTTAATACAAGAGTGGGGCAACCCACCTGTCTCTTTCAAAGAGAAAATCAAGAATTGGACCATCAATGTCGGGACAAAGGTGATAAAGTAGAGTATGGAGATTTTTTAATGTGCAAGAGATTCATGGAGAGGGATGTCTTGTCTGATTTCAACCTAATCTTTTTGACATTTCCATTTGTGCATATAAATTATCTAGAATATGACTTCTTTTGTGTTTAGATAGATATTAGGAATATTGGGGTGAAATCATGTGCATGCCACACATTTCTTTTTTAAGCGTTTACATATCTAACTCCCAAAGTTTGATATTTACTTAATGGTGTCATGAATCTATGCATGAATGTGTGTATTTCTTATAAAAAGATTGTGATGATGATATTTTTTTATGTGATGTTAGAGATTGGAAGGATATGCAAATAAATATGAGCTTTTTTGTAAATCCATAAGAATTGTGTGGTATTTTTGTAAATGCCTCTTATTTATGTTAGAATTTTTGTTATCTTGTTTTCTTCTCTCACCAGTGCCTCTCTCTCTCTGCTTCTCCTTCTCTTTTCTTCTCTAGCATTATTAAAGCGGTTTTTACATACAGATCACTCACCATGGATTTATCTTACACTATGGAAAAATCCAAAATTTGAGAATTTGTTGAAGTAGTTTTAAGAAAACCCATGGTGATTGGTTTCTTATCGAATAATCTTACTTGTGAAGTTAGATTATCGATTTTGTAATTTATTTGGATTTTCATAGAAATTCAAATGACTCCATGTGTAAAAAAAGGAAAACCTACGGGAGATTTTGACTCGAGAAGATCTGTAATTATAAGTCCCAACATAGTTACAACACTCAAATGGGTTCGAGAAAGTTGATTCATAAACAAGCATTTACTAAACCAGGTGGAGAGATCGAGTGATTGATTGTCGCTAAAAAATGGGAGAGATTCTGCTGCTTTATTGTAATAGCAATTGTACAATTGATCCGAGAGTTCTATGCCAACTTGTGATTTACTTCAGATGATCACATCTTCATGAGAGGTAAGCAAGTTAAGTTTTCTATAGTAAATTTAAATGCATTTTATGGATTTAGGAATGTATTCCATTGTGAATATGTTGCATTCGTGATGACTGACTCATCACTGGATGAACTAATTGCCTTTTTGACTAATGGATAAGGAGAATGGAAAATCAATAACAATAAGAAAGTTAATTTCTCCACCTCCATGATGACTTTTCAATCAAAGGTATGAAATTACTTCATCTTCGCAAAATTGTTTCCAACAAATCATCTGAGTGAAGTAACAAAGAAAAGAGTTGTGCTAAATTTCTGCATTCAACAAATGAAAGTAGTAGATGCTAGCGCTCTTAAAGTACATCATGCTTGAAGTATAACCAGAAGTGCTACAGCTGGTGGTTTGAGATACCTTGCTCTGATTTTTACTTTAGTGAATAATCTGATATAGAATTCCTTTAAAATGAAGAAAACTGTAGCCACAGAAACCAATTGGGTGACATATAGTTAAAAGATTTGAATCATTTGTTGAATCTAGGAGTGGAGGATGTGATAGAGACTCAACATCTGTTGTAGGGACATCTACTTTTAGATCTGCTCCACTTGAAAACATCTTGGAGCATCTTATGATACAACATATAAATATGGTGAGTCTGAAAACAAGATTGGAGGAATTGAAGCAAGGAATGCATATAATGATGAGTATAATAAAACGAGAGTGCAATATGATATAGCATATCAGGAGGCCCTGACTAGATATCTTATGGGTGAATATAATGTGAAATTTCCAACTTGCCCCAGTTTTACTCCTTATTTTCCAGCTCATGAAGAAGAAGAAGAAGAAGAAGAATAAGATGATGATGATGAGGAGGAGGAAGAGGATGAAGACTGATTTTACTTTAGGAGTTTGATTGTTTTTTATTTATTTTCCTTAAAATTGTTGTAGTAGAAACTTTCATTTTAATGTTGTGTTATGAACTTAACTGTAATAGTAATTGTAGATTTTTATTTTTTTGCATTTCTAGTAATTTTTATTTCTGATTTATTTTTTAATGCTTGGCAAGTACTTTGAAGTATCATGTGTTTCATTTAGTGCTTCAAAACTTGCATTTTTTTAAGTTAACACATGCAGTATACCAGAGTTCAAATTCATATTCAAAAATTCTCTAGAGGATTGTTTTTATTTTTATCCATTTACTATTTTCTTTCACCTACAAAAAAAATTTCTGTACTGAACATTTTTAATTACTTAAAACTTAAGTTTCGGGGAAAGAAAATTTTCTTTTAAGAAGAAAAAGTGAAACTAAATTTTATTTTTCCTCAATTAACTATATTTTTTCAATTAATTTAACATGACATTGGATATTTGGGTTTAACTTTAAATGCCCATATTTATGATTGCAAATATTATGGTAAACTAGGTAAAAGTTTTTAATAATAAAGCTCAATTTTAAAGTTAAAGATATTTAATATGAAAGGATAAAACTATGTTTTTATATTTAAAGTAAATAAAATTTTATTTTTGAAGTATTAATAATGTTTTAGTTTTATGTAATAAGTAACGAATGAGACTTTAAGACAAATCATCAAAACTAATATGAATTTATAAAGTGAAAAAATATAAAAAGTTTTAACTATAAGAAGATGATAGTGTAGTTCAAAATTATTAAATGCTATAAAGATATAGTAATTGTCACTTTAAAAATAAAAAGAAAAGAAAGGATTGAAAAGATTCTAAAAAGAAAAGAAAGAAAAAAAGGGAATGTGAGGAGAAGCTTGAGGAAATGCCTGATAAAAAATTGGATTCACATGAATCAACATGAGGAAAA